CGATAGTGAGACTGAATGTGAGATCGATTGTGAGATCGATAGTGATATCGATAGTGAGATCGATAGTGAGACCGAATGTGAGATCGATAGTGAAATCGATAGTGAGACCGAATGGGAGATCGATAGTGAGATCGATAGTGGGACCGAATGTGAGATCGATAGTGAGATCGATAGTGAGATCGATCGAGTGCGACGTTGGTCCCTCCCCCCCCCCTTCACCTCCTTATCACCCGAAGGGTGGTCGTATAGGTATCGAGTAATTGTAGAAGGAGGAAAAATAGGGCAGAAGTGACGACAAATGAGAGACGAGAGGGGAAAGCAAAGAGGGAGGAATCTAAGGGGGGAGTGTGAAGAGAGAAGGAACGAGAGCAGGAGATAAATATGAGGAGGACGAATAGGATGATGAGGACTATGGTGGTAAGAAGATGGAAGAAACCACCCGCCAACAGACTTGGCTGGGTGCGCCCGCTGCGATCGAGTGATTACGTGTGTGTGTGTGTGTGTGTGTGTGTGTGTTTGTATGTCGAGAGGAGAGGGTCGTCGGCCGTGGGCCTCGGCGCACCCACGCGCTGGGGCGCCCTTCTGCCCGCCCTCCGTTCTCCTTGGCGTCTCTCTCGGCTACCCCCGGCAGCCTCGCCGCCTTGGACTAGCACCTCCGAGGGGCGGCCCCCGCTCTTGGCTTTTGCGCTCTCGCTGCGCCTCGCTGTGGCTCCCCGCTTAACCGCTCTCACGGACCAACTTCGGCGGTGGCCATCATCTTGCCGCCCAGCCCCACCAACGACGGTTCGCCGGCACCCGTTCCCCGCCTCGGCGCTTTGCTCACCTGGGTGCGCCCCTCTCCCTCGCTGCTTGGCGGCTCCGTCCCGCCCGGCCGCCTCCCAGCCCTGCCCGAGGAAGCGCGTCGCCTCAGCCCGGCGGCGGCCCGTTTGGCCGCCGCCCCCCCCCGCCCCGCTGCGGCCGCTGCTTCCCTTGCCCCGCCTCTGCACGGTGGGGGCCTGGCAACCTTTCGCTGCTTTGCCGCCGCGCGTCCGCCGGACAGACGGACGCCCTGCGGCTTGGCCTAGGCTGCGACGCCCGAAAAGTGTGTGTGTGTGTGTGTGTGTGTGTGTGTGTGTGTGTGTGTGTGTGTGTGTGTATATGTGTGTGTAGCTGTGTGTGTGTGTGTGCCTCTTTCCGCCAGCGCAGTCACTTTGCCTGGCCGCCGACGCAAAAAGTACGTACGTACGCACGTACGCGTGAGTGTGTGTGTGTGTGTGTGTGCGTGCGTGCGTGCGTGCGTGCGTGCGTGCGTGCGTGCGCGCGCGCGCGCGTGTGTGTGTTTGTGTGTGTGTGTGTGTGTGTGTGTTTGTGTGTGTGTGTGTTGTCTTCGCTCTGTCGATGCGCGCAGGACCGCGACGCCAAAAAGTGTGTGTGTGTGTAGTCCGCCTCGATGCTGTGCGCGAGGCCGCGACCGCCAAAAGTGTGTTTTGTGTGTGTGTTGTGTGTGTGTGTGTGTGTGTGTGTGTGTGTGTGTGTGTGTGTGCGTGCGTGTGTGTGTGTGTTCTTCACTGGATGCTGCCGCTGCTTCAACAGGAGATCGCCCCCCGCGCCCCCTCGAGAAAGGGCTGCGAAAACGTGACGAATCTCCCCCCTCACGCCTTCCTCCTGTCTCCTCGTGACAGCCACTCGGAACAACTGGTCAATACATCCTGGTCCGTGCTCGCCAGCTCGCGCACGAAGATGCTTCAGAACGGCCAGTACGTCAATGAAGCTGGAACTTCCAGCGGCACAGCCTGCAGACTGAACCGCCGAAGAAATCACACCAGCCCTCTGGCCGCAGGCTGTTGAACGGATCATCCATCCCAAAACGATCCCCTCTTCCTCTTCGGGGAGTTCGAGCCCTCCCCCTGGCCCACGTCTCAACATGCGGCTGGCAATTTAGCGCGGTGGCTGCCCCTGGCCAATCGCGGGGAGTAGGCCGTGGCACAGATGGAAACCCTTGTTGGGCGGAGCCTCGGATTTCATGGTTGGGGGAGGGGGGCACCGCTTGGGGCTCTTTTGAAACTCTTTCGGGGTGCTCTTGAGGCACAGCTTGGGCTCTGTTTGGTATCTTTTGAGGGTCTCTTCGGGCTTCTTGAAGCCTGGGGAGCCCTTCTGGGGCCGTCTTGCGACCAGCGTGGCGTCGGGTATAAGTGGTCATGTTAGCTTTTTCGCGATTCAGGGCTCTGGGGTTTTCTTCGGACGCTGTATGAATCCTCATTGAGGCAACCGTGGGGCCACGTAAACATGTAAAAAAACTGTAAAAGCGTGAAGAGCCGGATGGAAGCCAGACAACGAAAAGGCCCAAACCATTGGACCACCTGATGTGCCTGAAGGCTTTTGGCATCTCGGGGCCATCCTGGGCAAGGTCCGCGGCCAAATCGGGCCGTCTTATGGCGGTCTGGAGGCTCCTTGGAATCATAGTGGGTTTCATCTTGGACCATGGCGTGCCAACTTGGTGGCTCTCTTGGAGACCGCCTGGCCACTTCTCGTTCCCTGCCGGGGCCCAAAATGGGGGCCACACACGCCAGCGCTGTGGCCGAGGTGCAGTAAGAGGGGCTAGCCCGCTATATTGCAAGGGAGTCTCTTTCACTCTCTGTCTGTTGAAGGGGCCCAGGGACACACAAACAAATAGACACTAATCCCAATATTCCCAGTATGTTCCCTACCTAGGCTCTGCCTAGAAGTGTTCTTACTCGCTAAGCTTAAAGGGCCGGGCAGTGGACCACGCCCCGGGCGGTTCCCCCGGTATCCGCCCCGCGGTTCCCCCAGCTTAGCTTAGCTCATCTTAGCTTAGCTTATCCCATCTTAGCTTAGCTGATTCACCCTTAGCTCAGTTTAGCTTAGCTTAGCGTTGCTTCTATCATCTTAGCTTAGTTTATCTTAGCATAACTTAGCGTTGCTTATCTCATATTAGCTTATCTTAGCATAGCTTATCACATCTTAGCTTGCTTATCTCATCTTAGCTTATCTCATGCTTAGCTTAGCTTAGCTTAGCTTAGCGTTGCTTATCTCATTTTAGCTTAGCTTATTTCATCTTAGCTCAGCTTAGCTTCATCTTAGCTCAGGTTTATTTCCTACCTAAGCTCTGCCTAGAAGGGTTCTTACTTGATAACCTTAAAAGGCCGGGCAGTGTTCCACGCCCCGGGCGGTTCCCCCAGGATCCGCCCCGCGGTTCCCCCAGTGACGTTCCCTTAGCTTCGCGCTGCTTATCTCATCTTAGCTTAGCTTATTTCATCTTAGCTTAGCTTAGCTTCGTCTTAGCTCAGTTTTATATCAGCTTAGCTTACCTTCAGATGTAGATGTAGATGTAGATGGTGTAGGTGTAGATGTTGATGTAGACGTAGGTATCGATGTAGGTGTAGATGCAGCTGTAGATGTGAGTTTCGCTGTTGATGTTGATGTGGATGTAGATGCAGGTGTAGATGTTGATGTAGCTTTCGGTTTAGATATAGATGTTGCTTTCCTAGATCCTCCAACCACTAGGTAGGGTCGCACTGGGATAATTTGCATATTTTCTTGGTTTTCGTCTTCCCCCCACTTCCCATACTTTCCCATACTTCCCTCGGCAGCGACGTTTATTTGTGTCTGTGTGTTCTTTCCCCTCCTGATGATCTCCCTCTCTCTCTCTCTCTCTCCCGGGATCAGCAAGAGAAGGGGTGCGCAGTGCCGCTCCCCTGCCCTGGAGTAGCGTAAGCACTGACCGGGGTGAGGTGTGCGAGTCGCACCGTGGGAGGGGGGGGCAAGGCTTCTCTGGAGGTCGCTGCCACCCCGCGGGGGACGGGCGCAGCGTCTACAGGCACCTCTCTGGTGGATCTCCGCACCCGAAGACGGGACCCCAAGACGCCAACCATTATCAGAACTCGTCCAACATCGCAGCGGCGGGGGCCCGAAGCACATCGCAGCATCCCGCACGAGGGCCATGCACCGTGCACGAAGGCACCACGTCTGCGCTCCGTGTTTCGGCAATCTAGGGGCACGGTAGAGTGACCGAAAGCGTAAGAGGGATGCCGATTGGCAAACCCGAGCTGGGTACGGTGAGGGCAGTGGATCAAGAACCATTGGATAAGGAACCGAGGGTCTGGGAGCCGGTGGAACTTCAATCGTGGATCGGCCATGGATATCACCGCCGTCCTCATCGGATAAGGAACCCTCCAAGGTCTGCAGCCTCCTGGACACATTTGTTAACGAACGCTTCCACCGTACGGAAAAACGGGTAGATGCTCAACAGCAACTGTAACCGACAGCGGCCGCTGTTGGGCAGGCGTCTTTCTGTCTTAAGTGGACACCGTCCGCGGCGACACCGACAACGAGTCCGTCCATTGAAAAATAAGCAGGAACTGCTGTTTCTGTATCAATTTCGATCGTATCGAGCAGAAGGCGAACAGGGAAGACGAGCACGGCGTACAGGGAAGACGACCAAGGCGTACAAGGGAGACGATCAAGGCGTACAGTGGAGGACGGTGAAAAACTAGGGTTTTGGGAGACGATCGAGGCGTATAGGGAAGTCTGCGAAGCCCAGTGCTCTTAATCGTCTCTTGATTATCTTCATCGCGCCACAAGGTATCTGGGGCCCGCGCGGAGCTGCGATCGGCGATCGGATCGGGGACGCGGCAAGGCGAGCTGGGGGTTGGCTGGCGCAGAAGGGGGACGGGAGAGAAACGGCGGGGAGGGCATCGAGATGGGGCCGGGGGGAGGGAACAGTGGAAGGACCGCGAAGGGTAAGAGAGTGGGAAGGATTATCGGGAAAGAGGGGGGGGGGAAAGGGAGAATGCAAACGGGACGCGGGCGGTGAGGCGGGGGCCCAACGATCAACAAGCAGCTCGGTACATCCGCAGGTCTTCTGGACCAACGCCTCCTGCAGTACTGACTCGGCAAGGGGGACACTCCTCTGCGGAAGAGGTGCCGCTTCGCTCGAAGGGCTGGTTTAACTCTCCGATCGGATCCGAGCGCACATACTTTCTGGCAGCCAAGCCCGCGACCGCTACTCTCGAGGATGTGGGACGCCACGCTGTTGCCCGACTCGCTCTTGACCTGCGGCTGGGTGCTTGCCAGGGGGCCACGTCTGCTCCGCGAGGGTCCGTCCGTGGCGCGCTCCTGAGCAGCTTCGGCGGGTTCACGTCGCGATGACGACGGCGTGGCTTCCTGACACCACGTGAGCCATCCAGCCTTGAACGATCGGGGCATCCCAACGGCACGGACGGTTCGATATCGGCCTGTCCTGGGCCACTGACGGGGTTCAACCTTGAACGCGCTCGGACCCCCATGCCGCGCTTGATCCAAAGACCAGTGTGGAAGCGGACGGGAAGGACAACTACGACTGAATTTCCACTACATCGCACAGCGACTGGGAGAACCGCAGCGGAAACGCCACGCGCAGCTGCACTGGAGAGGGGAAATCAGAACGGAGGGGGGCGGAGGGCCATAGATGGGGGACAATGGAAGAGGAGGCGGGAGAGGGGGAGAAACGATGGAGAGAAGGGGGGAGAAGAGGGAAGGATTGATGGAGGCATGCAGGCGTTGGGGGGGAGGAGGTCGAGGAAGGGGGCGAAGAGGAGGACGAGGAAGAGACTGAGGATGGGGAGGGCGAGGAGGTGGAGGAACGAACTAGCGCGGGTGGCTACAGACGCGCCTGCAGATTCTGTAAGATCTTCAGGTACTTGTCCTGGAGAGGCTCAGGCCCGAACTCTTCGAATCTCATCCTCATCCCCTTTTCCTCCTCTCTCCCCCTGCTCCTCCACTCTCTTCCTCCCCCCTTTCTGCTTCCTGCTGCTTCCTGCTCCTCCTCTTCCTCCTCCTCGACTTGCTCATCCTGCTCCTGCTCCTGCTGCTGCTGCTGCTCCTCCTGTTTTTCCTTCCGCCCCCTGCCCCTCCCCATTCTCCGTCTCCTCGCCTCGTTTTTTCCTGCTCCTCACTCAGATTACCTGTGGCTACGCTAGCCGCCTCATGCGTTCCCTCTGATTACTAGCCCGCCGCTCTGCGGTTGATTCGGAATCTTTGTGCGCACGCACGTGCGCAATATTTTTCCGTATATATTCACACACGCATATCTATACATGCGTATGTAGGTGTTCGTGTGTAGTGTGTGTGTATACATGATGTTGTTTTGTGATCTTCTTCGTTATCTCTCTCTCTCTCTGTCTGTCTCTTGATCTGCCACAAATTGTCTAAATGCATAAAAGTAATTGGCTGGAAGGCCTCTTGTGGGCCGCGTCCACCAGCGCCCTGCCGATGGCCATGGCGGCGCTGATGCTCATCAACGTGCGCCGTTTTGTCAGCCACCGCGTTGGTGTGATGCCTCAGTTCTTCTGCGCGGCCAGCACCGCCAGGTCGTCCAGGAGGCCATCAAGCCTGTCGTCGATGTGGCCCCATTTCTCCATAGCGCACGGCAAACAGTTTTGCCGCAGATGGTTTATAGCGGTCCGCAGTGCACGTCACGCCCTCCTCCACTGCTGCGCCCGGAGTAGCGGCAACAACGTCCAAGATGTGCCATTCGGCGGGGTGCCGGACAGTGACGTCCAACAAATGATCTGGGGCAATGGGGTGGCCAAACAGCCCGACGTCCAAGACGGCCTCAACCCAAACCTCGCTGCCACTCAAGCGGGGCTTCTTGAAGCCTACCTCGGGGACAACCTGCTCGGCCGCTTGGCCGGCATCGCACCCAGCATGCGCTAAGGTGCCGTTCAAACCACTGTGTCGAATCGGCGTGTATGGGCCGACGTTGCAGCACACGGCGTGCTCCCCGAATGTGTCCAAAATCTTCCCGCATATTGCAAACGGGTCCTTGGATTGGGCGTTGGCGCACTGAAGACCAGCCAGATGCACAGGGACACCAAGCCTGAACTTGAGGGCCATCGCGAACTTGTCGTCTGCTACCGCTGGCCACCACGACGCAGGAAACTCAGCTAACCAGCGGCTCGACACAGGCCCCGAGCAGCTCTGGAGGCGGGCCTGACTCCGCTTCGAGCAAGAGAGGCCCGCACGAAGGGACAGTTTCGAGAAGGACTCCAAGGCGTCTAACAGCGGAGCGTAGCTTTTCTGGGCCTGCCCCGGCAGCAGCGCGGCTGGCGCCAATCGCGAGGAAGGCGGGTCCCCCGCGATGACCTCCAAGAGGCGATCTATCTGACTCCAGAAGGGGCAAGGCTCATTGGCCCGCTTTTTACCTAACAGCGAAGACTGATAGGTTTCTAGTGGTCTCAAAAGAGAGCATCATGACTCCCCAGAGGGGGTCTGGGCAGATGCCGGACGGGATCCAAGAACTCCTTTTTGAGCCAACAGTAACCCACTTCGTGTTCTTCGAGTTCCCAGAACTTCAATCCTGGGCATGATTTTAAATGCCCGGAGCCAACTGTAGGCTACTTCGTGGTCTTCGAGTTCCCAGAACTCCATTCCTGGGCATGATTTCGAATGCCCGGAGCCAGCTGTACGCCACTTCGTGGTCTTCGAGTTCCCAGAACTCCATTCCTGGGCATGATTTTGAATGCCCGAAGCCAGCTGTACGCCACTTCGTGGTCTTCGAGTTCCCAGAACTCCATTCCTGGGCATGATTTTGAATGCCCCGAGCCAACTGTAGGCCACTTCGTGTTCTTCGAGTTCCCAGAACTCCATTCCCGGGCCACATTTTGAATACTGAGGCAGGCTGATGCTGAGGCTGAGGCAGGCTGAGGCTGAGGCAGGCTGGGGCTCAGGCCGAGGCTGAAGGCAGACTGAGGCTGAGGCTGAAGCAGGCTGAGGCTGAGGCTGAGGCAGGCTGAGGCTGAGGCTGAGGCAGGCTGATGCTGAGGCAGGCTGAGGCTGAGGCTGAGGCTGATGCAGGCTGAGGCTGAGGCAGGCTGAGGCTGAGGCCGAGGCTGAAGGCAGACTGAGGCTGAGGCTGAAGCAGGCTGAGGCTGAGGCTGAGGCAGGCTGAGGCTGAGGCTGAGGCAGGCTGATGCTGAGGCAGGCTGAGGCTGAGGCTGAGGCTGATGCAGGCTGAGGCTGAGGCAGGCTGAGGCTGAGGCCGAGGCTGAAGGCAGACTGAGGCTGAGGCTGAAGCAGGCTGAGGCTGAGGCTGAGGCAGGCTGAGGCTGAGGCTGAGGCAGGCTGATGCTGAGGCAGGCTGAGGCTGAGGCTGAGGCTGATGCAGGCTGAGGCTGAGGCAGGCTGAGGCTGAGGCCGAGGCTGAAGGCAGACTGAGGCTGAGGCTGAAGCAGGCTGAGGCTGAGGCTGAGGCAGGCTGAGGCTGAGGCTGAGGCAGGCTGATGCTGAGGCAGGCTGAGGCTGAGGCTGAGGCTGATGCAGGCTGAGGCTGAGGCAGGCTGAGGCTGAGGCCGAGGCTGAAGGCAGACTGAGGCTGAGGCTGAAGCAGGCTGAGGCTGAGGCTGAGGCAGGCTGAGGCTGAGGCTGAGGCTGAGGCTGAGGCTGAGGCTGAGGCAGGCTGAGGCTGAGGCCTCATGCAGGCTGAGGCTGAGGCAGGCGAGGCTGAGGCCGAGGCTGAATGCAGACTGATGCTGAGGCTGAAGCAGGCTGAGGCTGAGGCAGGCTGAGGCCGAGGCAGGCTAAGGCTGAGGCTGAGGCAAGGCCGAGGCAGGCTGAGGCTGAGGCTGAAGCTGAGGCTGATGAGGCAGGCTGAGGCTGAGGCCGAGGCTGAGGCTGAGGCCGAGGCTGAGGCAGGCAGAGGCTGAGGCTGAGGCTGAAGGCAGGCTGAGGCTGAGGCTGAGGCAGGTGAGGCTGAGGCAGGCTGAGGCTGAGGCTGAGGCAGGCTGAGGCTGAGGCAGCCTGAGGCTGAGGCTGAGGCTGAGGCTGAGGCAGGCTGAGGCTGAGGCTGAAGGCAGGCTGAGGCTGAGGCTGAGGCTGAGGCAGGCTGATGCTGAGGCAGGCTGAGGCTGAGGCTGAGGCTGATGCAGGCTGAGGCTGAGGCAGGCTGAGGCTGAGGCCGAGGCTGAAGGCAGACTGAGGCTGAGGCTGAAGCAGGCTGAGGCTGAGGCAGGCTGAGGCTGAGGCTGAGGCAGGCTGATGCTGAGGCAGGCTGAGGCTGAGGCTGATGCAGGCTGAGGCTGAGGCTGAGGCTGAGGCCGAGGCTGAAGGCAGACTGAGGCTGAGGCTGAAGCAGGCTGAGGCTGAGGCTGAGGCAGGCTGAGGCTGAGGCTGAGGCAGGCTGAGCTGAGGCAGGCTGAGGCTGAGGCTGAGGCTGATGAGGCTGAGGCTGAGGCTGAGGCTGAGGCTGAGGCTGAGGCTGAGGCTGAGGCTGAAGGCTCAGGCTGAGGCTGAGGCTGAGGCTGAGGCTGAGGCCGAGGCTGAAGGCAGACTGAGGCTGAGGCTGAGCAGGCTGAGGCTGAGGCTGAGGCAGGCTGAGGCTGAGGCAGGCTGAGGCTGAGGCTGAAGCAGGCTGAGGCTGAGGCTGAGGCAGGCTGAGGCTGAGGCTGAGGCTGATGCTGAGGCAGGCTGAGGCTGAGGCTGAGGCTGATGCAGGCTGAGGCTGAGGCAGGCTGAGGCTGAGGCCGAGGCTGAAGGCAGACTGAGGCTGAGGCTGAAGCAGGCTGAGGCTGAGGCTGAGGCAGGCTGAGGCTGAGGCAGGCTGAGGCTGAGGCTGAGGCTGAGGCTGAGGCTGAGGCTGAGGCAGGCTGAGGCTGAGGCTGAGGCTGCGACTGCCGTTGCCACTGCGACTGTCATCGCGAATGCGACTACGATTGCGAGAACAGCAGAATTCTACAACTGGATTCTCGTCTGAATCTTAAGGGGAATGCTTCCAGATATGCTCCTACACATCGCTGTTAGGTTGCTTTGCCGGGATAATTTGGTCCACTGCCTCCAGGGTTCCCTCAACAGGAGCCCGATAGGCCCCTCTGAAGGGCCACGAAAATAGCTTGGGGCGGCGTTCCATCAGCCCTGAGGCGTTCGATCTGCTGGCCGATTGTGTTTCTGCATGGGCGGCGGTCTTTCACAGCGAGCAAGGAGTGTACAGCAACGTAGGGGCTCAGGGGCTGTCCCTTGTTTCTTTGGATTTGGCCTCTTACTACGAGGCTGATCTTGAGTGGGCTCGTAGGGAGGAGACGGGGGGACACCAAGACCAGACCCCCCTCCCCCCTCCCCCTCCCGACCCTATTGCGGATGCGTCGAGGGAACCTCTCTTTACCTAACAGCGAAGACTGATAGGTTTCTAGTGGGCTCAAAAGAGAGCATCTTGACTTCCCAGGGGGGTCTGGGCGGATGCCGGAGAAAATCCGGGGACTCCCCAGGGGGTCTGGGCGGGTGCCGGGGAGGATCCGGGGACTCCCTAGAACACCATTCCCAGGCCACATTTTGAATGCCCGGAGCCAACTGTAGGCCACTTCGTGTTCTTCGTGTTCCCAGAACACCATTCCCAGGTCACATTTTGAATGCCCGGAGCCAACTGTAGGCCACTTCGTGTTCTTCGTGTTCCCAGGACACCATTCCCAGGCCACATTTTGAATGCCCTGAGCGAACTGTGGGCCACTTCGTGTTCTTCGTGTTCCCAGAACACCATTCGTGTACAATATTTTGATTGCCCGGAGCCAGCTGTGGGCCACTTCGTGATCTTCGTGTTCCCAGAACACCAGTCCTGTGCCATATTTTGGATGCCCGAGCTGAGGCAGGCTGAGGCCGAGGCAGGCTGAGGCTGAGGCTGAGGAACGCCGAGGCAGGCTGAGGCTGAGGCTGAGGCAGCCTGAGGCTGAGGCAGGCTGAGGCTGAGGCTGACGCAGGCTGAGGCCGAGGCAGGCTGAGGCTGAGGCTGAGGCTGAGGCAGGCTGAGACTGAGGCTGAGGCAGGCTGAGGCTGAGGCTGAGGCTGCTGAGGCTGCAGGCTGAGGCTGAGGCAGGCTGAGGCTGAGGCCGAGGCAGGCTGAGGCTGAGGCTGAGGCAGCAGGCTGAGGCTGAGGCTGAGGCAGGCTGAGGCTGAGGCTGAGGCTGCTGAGGCTGAGGCTGAGGCTGAGGCTGAGGCTGAGGCAAGGGCAGGCTGAGGCTGAGGCTGAGGCTGAGGCTGAGGCAGGCTGAGGCTGAGGGCTGAGGCTGAGGCTGAGGCAGGCTGAGGCTGAGGCTGAGAGGCTGAGGCGAGGCAGGCTCAGGCCGAGACAGGCTGAGGCTGAGACTGAGGCTGAGGCTGAGGATGAGGCCGAGGCAGGCCGAAGCTGAGACAAGGTGAGGCTGAATGGGGGGGGGGGGGGGGGAGGGGGGCTGAGGCAGGCTGAGGCCGAGGCAGGCTGAGGCCGAGGCAGGCTGAGGCCGAGGCAGGCTGAGGCTGAGGCTGAGGCAAGCCGAGGCAGGCTGAGGCTGATGCTGCTGAGGCTGAGGCTGAGGCAGGCTGAGGCTGAGGCAGGCTGAGGCTGAGGCTGACGCAGGCTGAGGCCGAGGCAGGCTGAGGCTGAGGCTGAGGCAGGCTGAGGCTCAGGCGGAGGCAGGCTGAGGCTGAGGCTGAGGCAAGCCGAGGCAGGCTGAGGCTGAGGCTGAAACTGAGGCAGGGTGAGGCATCCGTAGGAATCTATAGGAATCCTTAGGAATCCCTAGGAATCCTTAGGAATCCGTAGGCATCCTTAGGAATCCGCAGGCATAGTTAAGCTTCCTCAGGAATCCCTAGGAATCCTCAGGATTACATTGGATCCTAAGGCCGGTGCCGCTGCGACTGTCATTGCGAATGCGACTGCGACTGCGAGAACAGCAGAATTCTACAACTGGATT